ATCTATGTGCCGCCGAAGAACGCGGCCGTCTTCCAAGGACACTTCATAGGACAAAGATCCAGAGACCTTGCAGACCACAGCTGGTACCCAGAGATGACCAGGCCCATAGTTGCGAGTCCAGACTGGATCACCCACTTGAAAGCATGCGACACCTGAGACGCCACCCGGTCAGGATGCAGTCTGTCCAGCTTAGTAATGAGTCAGTGACCCCAGCGGAGTTCAGCAGGGCTCTTCCCGGTGGATGTGCAAGGTGTGGTGCAATGTGCAAGAAGAAAGTCTGCTAACCTGTGATGCCAGTTACCGTAAGTCAGTTTCTTGAGAGCATCCTTGGTGATGTGTACCATACGTTCAGCCATTCCGTTGGTGGATGGGTGGAACGGAGCCGAAGTTGCATGGTGTATCAGGTTGGCCTGCAGAAAAGCCTGGAACTCAGAAGAGGTAAATTGAGGACCGTTATCTGAAACCAGAACATCTGGAAGGCCATGAGCTGCAAAAATACCTCGCAACACCTGGATAGTCTTGGCAGTAGTAGAGGACACAGGAACAACCTCTAGCCACTTGGAATGGCTATCAACAACAACCAGGAAGAATTGCCCCTGAAAGGGCCCAGTGTAATCTAATGCAGTGGTTCTTAACCTGGGCGATATTGCCCCCCAGGGGGCGATTTCATTTTTCAGGGGGGCGATGGAACGAAAAGGGGCAATGCGGGGGCGAAGGAACGAAAAGGGCGCGATATGGGGGCGAGGGAGCGAGAAGTTTGGGGGACACTTTTGAGACTTTTTCGTACAGTGAATGGCTGTATATCTGTCATACAAAAACATCAGATTGCTCGCTATTAGTGGATTGAATTGTGTTTTCAGATGTTCCTCCAGCTTAACTTCAGTACAGAACACCGTACATATGTAAATACACATTGCTTATCTTCATGCGTGTTGTGCAGCAGCCTCTACCCATACAGTGGCGCGCCATTGGCCAGAATATGGGAGATATGGGGAAAAGACTGGAAATAAATTATTTGCATCGATATGTCCTGATGAACAATTTTAAAGAAAACAAAAAAAAAAGTGTTTGCATAAATTGAAGAATTATTTCCTATGTTATGATTGAGAGGTTATGTTGGGGGAGGGAGGCGATAACAACTTCCTCATTGGCTCAAGGAGGCGATTCGTTCAAAAAGGTTAAGAACAACTGTGTACCCTAGACCACGGGGTTTGAGTTTCCTCCCACCTGTGAACTGGGGCCTGAGGCATTTCAGGCCGGGACTGTTGGCACACATGGCACCCATGCACCTGGGCCTTGATGGCTTTATCAAGGCCAGGCCACCACAAATGGCTGCGCACAAGCGCTTTCATCCTGACTATCCCAGGGTGTCCCTCATGCAGAGAGATTAAGATTCGAGACCTCAATGAGGCTGGGATTACTACCCTACTACCCCATAACAAGCATCCCTTGAAAGTGGACAATTCATGCCTCTTTCGCCAGAAACTTTGGAAGTCAGTATCCGGGCCCGTGTCAGACCATCCTGACAACACCCATGTCAGCACGCATGTAAGCGTGTGATCAGTGGCAGTTTCTGCAGCCACATCCTAGCATTGAGGGGAGACTCAGGCAGCTCTTGAATGGACAGAATATTAATGGCTGGAGCAGGATCAGGCTCCAAGGTTGGCAGGGGTAATCTACTCAGGCCGTCTGCATGACCCATTTCCTTTCCAGGTTTGTGAATCAACGTGTAGTCATATGCTGACAGGAAAATGGACCAACGCAGCATTCGAGGAGATAAGATATGTGGAGTTTGTTTGGAAGTGGTAAACAACTCCAACAAGGGCTTATGGTCAGTGTAAACCGTAAAGTGGCGGCTGTATATGAAATAATGAAACTTCTTAATGCCAGCCACAATAGCCAATGCTTCCCTGTCAATTTGAGCGTAATTACGCTCTGCAGAAGACAGGGTCATGGAATAATAGACCACAGGGACCTGTGTCCCATCAGCCTTCATGTGGCTAAGTACAGCTCCCACCCCATATGGAGATGCATCACAGGCAATGCAAATGGGAAGCTGCTCATTGAAGTGAGCTAGCACTGCATTGGAAGTAAGCAAGGCTTTAACCTCATTGAAACTTTTTTCATGGACTTTAGTCCACTGCCAACTGTCTTGTTTGTCTAAGAGCCTGTGCAAAGGTTCAGCTATTGCAGCTTTATGTGGCAGAAAAGCATGGTAAAAGTTTAATAGCCCCCAAAAGGCTTGTAGTTCACCCTTAGATTTAGGGCTTGGGGCCTGCTGAATAGCTTTCAATTTAGCTTCAGAAGGGTGGATGCCATGAATCCCAAAAAATCAAGAGAATTGACTCCTATCTTACACTTGTCCTTCTTTAACTTAAGGCCTACTCTTCTAAAACAAAGCAAGACAGCCAAACTTGGCAGCCACTCTCTGCCAAGTTTTGGGATGATTCCCCAGCAATGAGAACATCATCAAAATATGGGCAAACTCCAGGAATACCCCTCAGGGTGTTTTCCATAACACTTTGGAATATGCCAGGGGCTACATTCACCCCAAATTGCAATCTCTTGACTTTAAAGGCCCCTCTATGGGTTACAATTGTTTGAGCCTCAGCAGCTGCTTCATCAACAGGCAACTGTTGATAGGCCTGTGCTAGGTCAAGCTTCACAAAAATGTCCCCCCCCCCTTGAAGGAAGCCAGGATGTGGCTTACTACAGGTACTGGATATGCGTGTTGCTGCAGAGCTTTGTTTAGTGTGCACTTGTAGTCTGCACAAATACGTATGTCCCCATTAGCCTTTAGAGGCGTTACTATGGCGGTTTCCCATGGACTAGAATCTACAGGTTCTAAAATGCCCTGCTGGAGCAATTTGTCCAGTTCAGCATCGATCTTGCCCTTGAGAGCAAAAGGTACTCTCCTAGGCTTAACCCTGATGAGCGTTATGGAAGGATTTAATCATAATGAAACTGGAGGCCCCTTGTAAGTTCCAAGCTCAGAGCTAAACACATCTGCAAATTCCTTGCAGACTTCTGCCAGGCTCCACGTTTGCAAATTGTGCAGCCCTGTAACCTGGATTCCCAGAGCCTCAAAACAATCAAGTCCAATAAGACTTGTGCGTTCACCCCCAACAACCAACACATCTAAAGGACCTTCAAAATCCTTGTACTGTACCTTAAGGGTGGCCTCCCCCTTAACACACACCTTAGAATTCTGAAAGTCTGTGAGTATTACATTGGATGGCCTGAGTTTAGCTCGAAGGCCACTGTTGCTGCAAATTTTCCTGAATGTGTTGAGGGAAATAATGGAGAGGGCAGACCTGGTGTCCAATTCCATGGATAAAGGAACCCCTTGTAACCTTACTTTAAGGGATAGTTTCTTCTTAAGGGGTTTATGTGTGCCTATCCTTAAAATATTTCTGCGTGTTACGCAGAAACCCACCCTATTTTGGCTGAGGATCCTGGTACCTTTCAGATGCAATTCTTCTCTAGATTGTACCTTCTAACGACCCAAACAGATGGATGTGATATGGCCTTGCTTGCCGCATGCTCTGCAAATGGCGGAACGGAACCGGCAATCAGCTTGTTTGTGTTGTCCTCCGCACCCAAAGCATTGAAGAGCTGTTGGGGCCTTTTCTGTGCGTTCCTTCTGTCTCCTTCCGGCTGCCTGGTGAAGCTTATCCACCCCCTCTTCAGGATCTTCCTCCGAATCCTCTTGCACGATCTCCTGGTGGACAGTGGCTGTCTCTGGAGAGGTTCTGGTGGGCCACAGATTCTTTACCGCCCTGCCTGCTGCTTCCTCTGCTGTAACCTCTCACAGAGCATCTTGGAAAGAGACATCTTCTTTAGCAAAAATCTTGTGCTGTAAGTCTCTGTTCCTTAACATGCATACAAAACGATCACGCAGCCTTTCTTCCAAGTTTTTAAACTCGCGCGGTCTGGCTGCTCGCCTCAAGGCTGCAATAAAGTCCTTAGCAGATTCACCTGCCCTCTGGTCCCTTTGTTCAAACATGTGCCTCCAAGCAATGACGGACAACTTTGGCTGGACATGTTCTTTCAGGAGTTTCTTTAAATCAGTATATGTTACTGATTCCAGAGAGGCAGGGGCCACCAGATTTTCTGCAATCTCAAAGGCTTCCTGCCCACAGACACATAACAGGGTTGCAGCCTTCAAGCCATCTTCTCTGATCTGGTTTACCCTGAAATAATTCTCCACCCTTGCAACGTAGGATTTCATCTCTCCGGGTGTGAGACATCGAACTTGGATAAACGGCCGATCTTCGCCATTCTGACTTGCACTTCACCACTCGCTTCTCTTAGGGAAGGGGTCTTTCAGCCGAACTCACCCTCCAGTGACCCTGTACTGGGAGGCTGGACGCTGACTTTAACGCCATCTTCCCTCTTCAGGACTTCTTTAGGTGAGCCTTTACAGCTTTCTTCTGTTAAGCTTATAAAGCATCCCATTCTCGTCGCCAGTGTTAAGTCCTTGCATTAATGACGAGTGATGAAGACACATCTTTCCAGGAACACTCTTTATTTCAGTTTCAGCCAAAACTCCAACAACGATCATAGGCATGCAGGCCTTCTTTTATACGCCCAGACCCCCAGACATAATGGCAACAGAACCCAGGCACTTTTCCCGCCTTGCACATGCGCACAAGCCGGCGCCACTCAGTCTGGTCCCGGACAGCTACTGCAAACCCTGGGACCATTACAACATCCCGAGCCTGCATTTGCAGGCTCAGGACACAACAGTACCCATTCAAGAAACACAAAACTGGCTGCCTGTGATTTACCTGTTACTATTTTACTCCAGTGTGTACTCCCTAGAGTGGTTACTTCTTTTAGAATGCCAAGATGCTGTTTATTTTTATTGTAGCAAATTGCTTACACATTCACAAATAAATACATTTATTTACTTCTTTCTGTTGTCTTTGTTCACCAGTCTCTACATTTCAACTAAAAGTTCCTGGTTTAGAAAATAATTATTGGTTAATTTTATTAGGTAATACCTACATCAGTTGATAGCACTATTAAATAATTAGACAATTATTTGCAAGTTTTGATGCAAGATATTTATTACAGAAGCAAAACATTTACCTGAAAATGCAAGATTGCAGGAAATCTCAGTAAGTTTGCAATTAGCAGATTTACATAAAAATAAATCTCTGAGCTTGATAGAACATACTATACTTCTAAATTATTATGCTTTGTGCTGAGTAGTGTAGAAATCACTGATAGAATAATGAATCTGAACTGTAACTGTAGAGAAATTTATTGAAGGAAATATAATTAAGGAGGGCATGTCTGAGTTTTAGAGTATCCAAATATAGAAAATGCATTGTTGACAAAATATATTTATGTATAACAACCTGCATTAGCTTAGCTTTGAATTTCTTTGAGAATTAATTTTTTTGTAATGGATCCAATATTTAAATATTCACAAAGAAATAGTTTGATTATTTTACAAAGACCATCCATGTTGCTACCCTTATTGTATAAAAATATTAATCAGAATGATTGCTCCACTATAAAGAGGAACTGTTCTTGTCCATTTTTAGCGAAGAATCTAATGCTTGTAAATTTTGAAGCAGAATTGGCTTGATGTGTTAAAATCAAGATGAAATTTTACACAGAAACATTAATTGTATAATTAGTCCTTGCTGGAAATGAAGATACGTTATATACCCAAAACTGTGCAAAGAGAAATGGAGGATGTCCCTAAGTTTTCTAACCACTACTAAATATTGAATTTATAGAAGCTGATACAGGATAAAGAAAAGTTATAAGATGCAAAGATGGTGAAAATAAGATTTGCCAAACAGAGTGTTTTTCAAGGATCTTTGAAGGCAAAATTCTAGAGCCAACTGATAAAGGAAAAAATCTCTCAACTACACCAAAATTCTTGATTGAAGAACCTTAAGAATGCAGATGATGTGATTCAAAGCCTCACAGCTAAGTTCACAGGATATTGCGCCTGACCTCCAAAGTAGAGACCATTGCTCTCAATTTTATATTGTTGTATGGTGGGTAGCGCATTTTGTTCATTATCTCCAGGCCCATGGAACGCAAAAGACAGCCCCGTAGGTGAGTAAATGTATCGAAAGTAAACTTGCCATGGTATTTGCCAAATCCACTGAATCCTGCAATATTAAAAAGAAAAAAATCAGATCAAATCCATTTACTCTTTTTCATCAGGCTGGACAATGCTTGCCCTTAAAAAGGTTTTTCCTCATAGTACTTACTATAAAAGGTTTAATATTCAGTGGATATTGCAATGGATATTTTTAAAGGAAGGGACTAAAGAAGAGAATTCAGTAGAGACAGCAAAGCTTGGCTAGATAATAATTTCCTAGCTTGCTAGGTTTCATGATCATTGAACTACAGCTGCCTTAATCCACAATAAAATGAAACTACAGTACTGCTTTTTTTGGTATCACGATACCTAAAAAATGAACAGAAATTAAATATGCACATCAGTTTAACCATGTTTGGTAGCCAAAATGCAATACTGATTTACACAGAATGTTAACCTGTCTTTAGTAGAGTATGGGACCAGACCTACTGAGCCAGAGCTACTTAACCTGATGATCTTGTTAGTACCATTTACAAAATCAAAAATATTAAGCCCTCTCCCTTTACTCCCACTTACCAGTATAATGTAGACCAGATTTCCAACCCTCTCCTTTATTTATAAATGACCACATGACTTATAGCATGGGAAATTTATTATTTGATCACATTTGATTTAATCAGGAAATATGCTGGTCAAAGTAAAAAAAATGGACTCTTAATATCTTTGTCTGGATGAAAAACATCGTGGGAGAACTTTTCACATTGGAAGGGAAGGATAAGGATGGGGGCAAGAAATGGAGACAGCATAGAAGATAAAAGGTTAATCATACCAATGCCACCATATGGTAGGGAAACCGATACTGCTTGCATCAGGGTATCATTACCACAAAAGGTACCACTGCTAGTACAATCCAGTACCTGGTTCACAACCTATAAAGAGAAAAAGAATAGAAGAATATTAAGAGTCCCGTTTTTAATCTTCCAAATGTGAGTTTGATCAAGTCCCAGCTCTATAATAATATGAGTCACAATACAAACAAGGGTCTTTAGCTTTTGTGCCCCTACGAATATCTGGAATGTTGAAAATGTGCCACAGACACACTCACAAAATGACGAATGTTGTAGATGGGGCCAAGTAGCCATTTGCTAAAAATCAATTGGAAGGCAAAAATAAAGAAATGAAAATTCTCTATGAATCGTAGTAAAATAGTTGAGAGATTGAAAATGGGACTGGGGTGGGGTCCTCTCCTCTCGTTTCCTTGGAGAGTGGCAGGGAGAATAATGGTATGCTGCCCCCCGATCTGCCAGGTGGAGAAGCACCCCAGGCAAGCAGGCAAGTGGTCACTGAGGGCTTGAGCCAATACAGGACCTCTAGGCAGCTGGGGGGGGGGCAGACTTCCGTAACTTATCCCTCAGGAGCAGGCAGGCAGGGGAGGTGAGGTGGGCCAGGCTAGGCCCGGCCAGAGGAGGAGGTGGAAGAGGGAGAACAGGAAAGTTGTTCTTGGGGGCAGTGGATTGACCACCATTGGGCTCCAGCGGCCCTTAGGGGCTGATATTTCTTCTGGTGGGACACAGTTATCCCTATGTCCACTTGGCCAAGACAACTTGTTCCATGCTGACTGGGTTGCACCCACACATCTGTGCCCACCTGGCCATGCCCATCCGTCCATGCTGACCTGGCTGCACCAAGTCAACCATCCCGTTCTGGCTGTACCCACCTGTTCACGCCCACCCATGTGTGCCGACCTGGCCACTGTGAGTCATATCATTGTACTCTCAAGCAAGGACTTTACAGCATATACTCAGAACTTTCTCTCAACTTCTCTCTTCCCGGGTAAAGAGAAAGATTGTTCTTTTAAAATGCATAGGAGACCTCTGAGGTATAAAGCAAAAATATCAGTGCCTGAATTGGGGGAGGGTGCCATCTCTCCATTAGCTCTGATAAATAGTTGGAATTACCTCGCAAAAGTTGGGAGGTGTCCAAGGACAGAGAAAGAAAAGACTTTGCTTTAGGAACCCAATGCAATTGTAATCTAGGAGACTGCAAACCTCCAAAGGATTCCATGTGCCTCAGAATATCTACACGGGAGCTCTTGTGGTACAATAGAAGGGAAAACATTACTAAACATGCCAGAACAGCATACAGCAGTTGTTACCTCTTCAGCAGTGGGCAGGGGATGAGAGAGAGGCTACGTTTTGACAATATAATCTTAAAAATAGTGCTAATTCTTTGCATTATGGATGTGTAGATGAGCCAATTATTTTTTAACATCGGCTTATTGGTAAATAATCATGGGTAGAATTGGGTTTTTCTTCTATCATCCAGACTGTATTACCAGTGGGCAAAGATCTGCTACCATGTTGGTTCATTGCAGCTTACGACATAAACATATTTTGAAAATAATGCAAGTCTCCTTTCTTTTGGCCATCTTGGATGGGGTTATGGGAAATAATCCAGATTCTCCCACACACAGTATGCTAGACCTAAACAATATACCTTGGAATCAGAGGAGAAGGCATACACAGCTAGTGGACGTTCTCCACAATTGATGTAGTCTATGGCTTCCTCCACATCTCTCACAATGAATATTGGCAGGATGGGCCCAAAAATCTCCTCTTGCATGACTGGGTCCCATTCTTTCACATCCACCAACACTGTGGGAGCTGTAATGGGCAAACGATCACATCAAGGTCTGTTCCGTTTATATACTATAACTTTATTGTCCGATTTAACCAGAGTTTTAGCTTTCCCCATGACTACATTTCCAATATGAAACCCCAGAAAACATGTCTGTCTTCTTGCTTTATTTAAAACAGATTTTCCCAGTCTCTCACTTGCCAGATCATTAGACTTCAACTTTTAAAATATTCCCTATTGTGTGGCCAATGACAATTAAAGCCCAACACATTCGGTGAGCACCAACTTGGAAAGGTGATCTACAGCCCTATATCTATTTATAATACACTTCTTTAATAAGCTTGATTATTATATGCCATCGTCATTTTCAACTCTTAGCAACCATACAGATTTTCTCAGTTGTCTTACTAGATAGTATAGCTAATCCTTGACTTATGATGGTAATTGACCCCAGAATTATAGCTGTAAACTGTGCCTGTCAATAAGCAGGTCATAAGTTGACTGACCCAATTTTACAGACTACTTTTTTTTTGCAATGATGATTAAGTAAACATAGCCATTGTTAAGCAAACTTTGCATTTGTTAAGCAAACACACTGTTAGAAATTGGTGTTTTTTTACCAGCCGTAAATGCCGGTTTCTGGCAAAAAAACATAATAGTGATCACATAAACACAGGATACTGCAAACATCTATAAAATGCAGGTTGGTTGCCAAGTGCCCAAAATGCAGTCACTTTACCACGGGTTGTAAGTTTCTTTTTTTGAACTCCCTTGTAACTTCAAATGGTTGATTAATAAGGGTTACTTATAATCATAAAATGTCTTCCTGTCTTTCCCAAACTCCAAATCTTTCTTCTTTAGTCTTCTTCCAGCTCCAAGCTGTATACTCACCAATATAACGCTCATACTCATCGGTCTCTCCACCAATGGCCACCCGGCCAGATTCCAGCAAAGCTTGGACGCGCTGGAAATGCTTGTCATTGACCATGCGGGCAAAATCATGTGACTTCTTGGGATCTTTGCCAAAAAATTCGTGGATAGCTTGGCGCAGGCAAGGCAGCAACTGCTCTTGTGTTTCAATTGTACAGATCACATAATCTGGTGCAATACAAGTCTGTCCAGCATTGACAAATTTTCCCCATACAATTCGGTTGGCTGCATTCTGGAAATTGCAGCACTTATCCACATAACAGGGACATTTACCCCCCAGCTCCAGAATCAATGGTGTCAAATGTTTTGCTGCAGCAGTCATGACGATCTTTCCTACACTGTTATTCCCTATAGAGATATGGCAAAAATTTGGGTCAAGAGAGATATACAGACACCCACATCTCCAATCCAGCATCAGGGTCCTCAATTCTGTGTTGTTTTTTTCTCTAACCTTTTTCCATACAGCTCTCCAAAATTCCACACATTGTTTTAATAAATAAGTGAAAATAACAGTTGACAAAGCAAGTGTTTTTTTCAGTGTTTCCTACAGTTTTTATTCCATCCAATTTTGTTTCATCTGCAGACTTGATAACTATTTTTCCACTCCTCATTCAAGTTATTAAAATATCAGTTTAGATCTAGAATGTATTAGGGACAGTCCATTAAAATCCCATGTCAAACTGCTGTCAAATTGCTTTTAAGTGTTGTTAATACAATCTTTTTTTTTATTAAAAAGTTTTTATTTTCCATTTATTCATACAAAATACAATTAAATTCCTAACCATTGGTACCGCCTGCCCATTCCCCCCAGGCTGCGCCCACCTTCTCTAACCTTCCCCACATCCCTCCTCTTTCTCTCCTCCCCTCCTACTCTCTTCCCCTCCCCTTCTCCTCTAACCATCCTACTTCCTCCCTACTCCTTCCTCCCCTCTCAACCCTCTCACACACATGAACGCAGCATAGGGGAAATGCCCAAGCGTTTACCATGACTATATTATCATTACCCACCCACCCACCCTCAACCCTCCCCCCCTCGCTTCCCAGAGCAGAGTACAGGGTTATTATTAAGAAAGTTAACAATAATAAGAAAAGAAAAGAAAAAAGAAAAAAAGAAAAAAGAAAAAAAGAGAAGAAAAACATCATACTTAACCTTTAACTCCCCTTAAATTAAGTCATATAAACAAATCTCTACAACAATTACTATAAAATTTACTCATAAAATAAATGAAACTTTATAGTCCCATATTTTTTCTGAATATAATCTATCCATCTTCTCCATACAATAATATATCTTTCTTGTGTATGATCCTTCAAATAAGCAGAAATTTTTGCCATTTCTGCAAAGTTAGAAACTTTAAATATCCATTCTTCTAAAGTAGGCAACAAGTCCTTCTTCCAATAGGAGCCTACTAATAACCTTGCTGCAGTTAATAAATTCAACATTAAAGTAGTTTCTTTGTCATTTAAATCCACAAAGATACCCAATAAGAATAATTGAGGGGTGAACTTTATCTTCCTTTTAAAAATCTTTTGAATGTTCCACCAAATCATAATCCAAAAAGCCTTTACCTTTTTACAATTCCACCAAACATGAAAATATGTCGCATCCATATTACCACATCTCCAACATTTGGGTTGTAAATTTGGATACATACAAGATAATTTTTTAGGATCTAAATGCCATCTGTAAAACATTTTATAAAAATTTTCCCTCAAATTTTGAGCTTGTGTAAATCTAACATTTCTAATCCAATTAGAAATGTTAATATAATCTTGAGCTGTTCTGGCAATGAAAAAGAAAAGCAAATCTGAGAAAACCTATGTGGGTTGAAATGAAGTATCTTCATTGTGCAGAAACATGCCTGAAACTAATACTCTTCATGTTTTCAAAAGCTGAAGTTCTATATCAGTGTTTCCCAAACTTGACAATTTTAAGGCACGTGGACTTCAACTCCCAGAATTCCACAGCCAGCATTGCTGGCTGTGGAATTCTGGGAGTTGAAGTCCACATGCCTTAAAATTGTCAAGTTTGGGAAACACTGTTCTATATCAAGCACAGGCTTTTTCCTACTTACAGTGTGCCTGCTCATCTTTTCTACCACTTGTGGGCAAGATCTACAATCTGGAAGCTGCTGACAGGTGAAGTTACAAATGCCAGGTGCAACAGTTTCCCTGACCTAACTTGCCATAACTCAGCTGTACTGTGATAGACATGATAAAGGTACTTAATCAAGACACATAACGAATTGCTGCAATATACAATGCCTTCTAGAAAGGCAATGCATTAGCTACAGAGATAATTCTACTGCAGATGGGAGGTAGTGGCAGGCTCCTAAAGGATGATTTTAGATAAATTATCTGAATCTTTCAATTTCAATACTTCAGTATTGCTTATCACACTGTTTTGTGCAGATATTATTGATAAATAATTTGAAATATTAAAAAGAATAACCTGAAAAGAATATACGAAAAGGGAAAATCACCTGTGTAGAAGATATAATCAAACTTATTTTCCAGTAATTTTCCTGTTTCTTCAGGACCAGCTGTCACCACAGCAAAGGTTTGCTGTAAAATAGAAAAGGAAGTTCACATCCAGTCAAGCTGCCTGCATATCAAACAGGTGGTGTTTTCTGCCCCTGAAACTTTGCAAGACAAAAAGCCTCTTGGGGGCAATTTGGAACACAAAAAGCATGCAGTAAATTGAAGGTAACTAAGATTTTTCTTAAATATTTTAATTTCAGAATGAGACAACTGCTTTTGATGTAATGAGAATATGGTAATATAGGTAGACCTTAACTTATGACAGTTATTGAGCCTGGAATTACTGTTGTAAGTTGTGCTGGTTGTTAAGTAGATCATCACATGGTTGTGCCTGATTTGATGACCTTTATTTGCGGCAGTCACTAAACAAATGCAGTGGTTGTTAAATGAATCCATTGTCTGCAGTGGGTTTTTTGGGGAGTCGGGAACCAAAAGCAAACACCAGTTTTCAGCAAAACAACTGTAAATGCAGACCAGTTGTGGAGTGTGCAAAAATGCAATTACATGATCTCTGTGTGGAGGTAGGGGGAAGAAGGGGTGCCTGGCCATCAGAACTTCAAACCTGGCTTGTAAGTAGTCCTGGAATAATCTGTTACAACTTCAAACAGTTGCTAAATGACAGGTAAAATTCTATTTTTTTTTGTCTAACCTTCCTATGACAGTGGAATTGTCTTACATTCATAATAATCTCCTAGCCTCATTCTTCCTCAAATCTCCCCCAAAGGGTTTTTCAATTAAAATAATAATCTATATAGTCAGTTTACCACCTTCAGACGTTTACCAGCCATCACAATCCAAAAGAAAATAAATTTTGGAGGGATTTCAAATGAACTTGGAAATAAACTGACTCAGCTTCCAAAAATAGATAGTTTGAAATTAGTTCAGAACAGAGTTTTTTTGTTTCTGAAAGTACCCAAGGAATTGCAGTTAAAATTTCTAGGAAATTAAGGCAAATGGCAGAGGGAAAGGCAAATCAAAAACCCTCAGTTTTTGCAAACTGGCAATTGAGGAACTTACCGGATCCAGATAACAAGGCAATGCTTCTGCAAGGAGCTTTTCAGTGTAGCTGCTCACCTCTGAAGGCTTGAGCACCACACAATTCCCTAATATGGGAAGAGAATACTTTACCAGAGTTGCAACAGATTAACATCCACCACATGCCTGGATCTCTCGGAAGAACACTAATCAGATCTAATGTCTAAACTGAATTAGGAACTAGCTTCTCACTCACCAGCTGCAATGGCTCCCACAAGGGGCACCAAAGTAAGCTGGACAGGGAAGTTAAAGGCTCCAATGATCAGCACCACACCATATGGATCCTTGCGAATGAAGGCAGAATCCAGCATTGTTGCCTATAGAAAAACAGAAAAATCCATGAAACCAATTGGGAAAGGGAAATTAATAGAAGATTTTGTAAGAGTGGAAATACTTGATGAGCTATATGCACAAACCCCCTTGATGTCTACTTCGAAATAAATCTTTGCTCATGCATATGATTTAACATTGTTTATCCTCTCCTTTGCCTTTTTAAAGGCAGTGCAAGGCTTAAATACAGATATTTGAAAAGCTGACGCCGAAGTGTTTTCATTTTCAGTCATATAGCCTCGATTTGTCTGGTTAGCATGTTGTTTAATCTCAGCAACATTCCATCTTGATATGTACAACAAGTATTTCTGATATAAAAAAAGAATTCTCCAGGTCATTGATTATGATTGGGTATTACTGTTCCAGCTTTGGAAGCTGACACATATACACAGACACATGTAGTGTATACACTTGCCCTCCAGGAAGCATAATAGACTACATCAGTGGAATGGGAGGGCTAAAATATGGATTGATTTTAGAAGTCCTAGGAATTGTGAAGGGTATATATTTACATTTGGGGAAGAGGATTAAGGAATGGAATGATTGCCTTAACCCCCCATTAGGTTTACAGGGCTTTAAATCTCCAACTTTCCCCAAACCCATTTAAACAATTACAGCTCCGCTACATGTAAATTTTATACTGAAATCAAGGGGGAAAGGCCGAAACATTTGATCTTACCACACACTCCCCAAGGTTCTGAGGGTATCAGGGAGGAATATCATTGACTTTATATCAAACATGGGATAAAGAAAAATTCTGTGGAAGGTCAATCTCCCTGAAGGTTGTAAGGAACTTTATATCATTTGTAGTTAGGACCAAAGATTATTATGTCATTTGTAGGTAGGACCAAAGAAACCATTCAGATTAAAGCAAATCCAAGCATAAAAGGGGTTATTCATTCTCTTCTTTTCCTCTTTATGACCCCCTCTTTTCTCTCCCCCCCCCCCATGTAGTAAGTTTGGCAACTATAGTGTGGGAAGTCAGCCCCCCCCCAGAGAAGGAAATATTTTTGGGGATATTAAAAAGGCAAAATATTATATTTCCCCAAAGGAAAGCAGGTCCAGGTTTTCTTAATAGCCCCAAACAGAAATTCTGCAGACCAGGTTTGTAGAAATGCAGATTAATAATCCCATTCAAAAAGTCTAAGGCCCCATTCATGAGCAAATACTGCCTGCAGAAACCCATTCAAGACAAGATCTTTTGAAATCCCTTGGAGCAAAAGTGATAGCTAACAATAGCAGAGTGATAGGATTAGAACCAGCAACCCCTCACCATCCAACACAAGACATAGCCATCAGCCACAACCCCAAAGAAGTAGGACATGACCTTTAGGACATAATAGGATTAACACACCACCATCACAATAAAAAAAGGGCACACTCAGACTCAGGTCAAAGTATATGACACAGGAAATATAAAGCCACAGGAACAGGAACAACTTCAAACACAAAAGCCCAAGAAGGTATAAAAACCCACCATTCCCAGCAGCATATGGTCAGCTGCTCCAGAGTCACATATTTTGTGGTTCTGCTCTTCAATAAACTACAACCTTCTTTCTAAAGCAGTCTCCATTTTGTTTATTCCCAGTTTGAACGGGACCCTGAAGATTTTTCTTGCAACAATAGTATGCCTACTAAAAGCTTGAATCAACAGCTTGCAAAGAACTCTGAAATCAGGCCATAGGCTCTACATTCCTACATTTGCCTTATGTGCATGTAAAACATGATACTTTCACACATAACTCTTAAAACATTTTAATCTCTCTTGCACTATGCACTGGTGAGATTGCTGATCCAATTGCTGATTGGAAACCAAATAATACCTATAGTAACTAGGATTAACTGAACTATGAAGGTTATTTGAAGGGCAATAGATTGGAAAAGTTCTAAAGCAATGCAACTTTAATTAATCTAAACTGGAGTGCAGAAATTATCCTTAAAAAGCAATTGGAACTTGTTCCTCCGATGGCAGAAAAAGCATGGCCCTAGAGACCCTCATTTGGAAGTTACCCCAGAACCTGTACATATCAATAACCTGATATCAACCTGTTTTGTTAAATGACAGATCTGTAATTTAATTCCCAATAACACGGGAAGAGTAACAGGGAAGATGGAAACATTAATACTCTAATAGTTAGAGATTTGCCTTCCAAGATGAGCATCCACCTGTTTTGAAAGGACACAATAGAAAGCCTATCTTCCATTTGATGAAATAATACACCCCATAGACTTTCATCCCTGTCCAACATAGAACCATTTCTTTCCATTTGTTCTTCACCCATTTGGTTTAACTTCTTACTAGGTTCTTGTGAACGTTTTCATCCTTCATCCAGCAGCTTAAGTTGTTAAGAGCGTTGGCCAGTTCATTTCTGACTAAGAGAATCTCAGTGATCTCAGTTTCAAAGCAGGGCTGCGGAGAAGAAAGACAAAATGAGATGCATCAGTGATGTCCATGCTGAGCAGTGGTGGGATTCAAATATGTGAACAACCAGTTTGCTGTGTGGATGCCGCTTCCGGAAGTCCGTTCTGTGTCTGGGCAACATAAAATTAGCTACTGGTTCTGCCCAAGTGGTGCAAACCAGCTGAATCCCACCACTGATGCTGAGTACAAGAGGTGAAGTAGGAAGCAATTCATTGAGCAAATTTGTGTCGCATTCAGCACATAGCACTGCTTTATCATGCTACTGGATCATCCCAATTGATTCCGGAAATGTAATGTTTGAACTTTACACCAAGACATGGCACTAAGCTTAGTTCAGTTCCCTTTATAAGATGTGGATATAGGTAGTCCTCAACTTACAACAGTTCATTTAGTGACCATTCAAAGTTACAACAGCACTGAAAAAAGTGACTTATGACCATTTTTCACACAATACCATTGCAGCATCCCCATGGTCACACAATCAAAATTCAGATGCTTGGCAACTGGTTCATATTTCTGACGTTTGCAGTGTCCTGAGGTCATGTGATCACCTTTTGCAACTTTCTGACAAGCAAAGTCAATGGGGAAGCCCAGTACACTTAACCGTGTTGCCAACTTAACACCTTCGGTGATTCACTCAACAGATGTGGCAAAAAAGGTCATAAAATGGGGCAAGACTTGCAGGCAAACTCAACTACAAATGAAGCCATATATAGTCAAATGATTCACTCACCAAGGAAATCAAAGTCTTGATAAGTTTAGGCTTTTTCTGCCCACTTTACCGAGATAATATATACTTGGCTGTACTCAATCATTTTAGGAGACTGGTCAACTATATTTACATAAAGATTTTCTGTAGACCGATAATTGCTGCTTGCCACCTTACTAAATTCAGCTCTCATGGCACATACAAAAAGTATTATTTCCTGTTCATAACTTTTTCATAGGAAATCCAGCAAAGAGAAAAACGGAATAGCTGCGCCACGTCTATTGGGGCCAGCAAGCCCATCTGCAACTCTCCTCTGAGATGCCAGATGCTCTGGCTGGGAGGCTTACTCACCTTGTGTAGGTCTGCACACAGGGCACGCTGGATATCTACATGCCTTTCTTCCAGAAAGTGGCACAGGCCCTCCAGTTGGTGGACTCGATACGCCTTAGGATGTGTCTTTCCTGTCATCCAGGTAGCACGTAAGCGCTGCACTAGGTCAGCATAGGGGTTTGTACTAGGACAAAACAAACACTCATAGACTCAAAGGAGTTATGGGAAAATTCCATTCTTTATATCAGTGTTTCCCAAACTTGACAATTTTAAGGCATGTGGACTTCAACTCCCAGAATTCCACAGCCAGCGTTGCTGGCTGTGGAAATCTGGGAGTTGAAGTCCTCATGCCTTAAAATTGTCAAGTTTGGGAAACACTGCTTTATCTCATTTATGTTAATCCTGATCCCACAAGGCAGGATGCCCTGTAAGAACTGGATGGATCACTGTATTGCCTTTTTTTACTTTAATGACAGAGTTTGGGAATTTCTGCCATGGCTCAATATGTTTTTTGGCTTCCTAACACTTCATACAACAATTTCTACTTCAGAGAAGAACCAAAATAGTATTTTCCTTCTTGACCCACACTTGTGTCATTCTTTTTCTACAGAATGTCATCATTTTGGGCCAGAAGCAAGAACAACTGCTGCCATACTTTTCTCATAGTTTTCTTACAAACTCAAGTTGGTCATATCCAGATAATAATTAATGTTTTTTCTTTCATGCTTGAAATCAAAAATTAAAATGCTGAGGGGATGGAGCATAATCTAACTACCGTGTTTCCCTGGAAGTAAGACCCTGTCTTACTTTCTTTTGGGCTCTGAAGTAAGGACAAAGTCTTACTTTCAGGGAGGGCTTACTTTTTGCCGGTACCGGCAACAGTAGGCCGCAAGCACGTCGGGGTGAGGCGAGGCCTATGCATGGGTCGGAGAAGCAACGCGGTGGCGAGAGCCTGGTAGCAGACCAGTTGCTTCCCTCCCCCTGCCAGACACCTGCTGAAACTGCACAGGGTAAGGTTGCCACGCCAGCCCCCGCCCAGATGCCTCTCCTTCCCCAAGCATTTTTTACTAACCCGCCTTTCAGCTGCATTGCGTTTCTCCGTTCACTTCTCAGCCATTGCCGTGTGTTTGTGGGACTACCGGTAAAAAAAAAAAAGTTCAATCAGACTTTCTAACTTCTCGAGAGATTCCTTTACTGTGCCATGCCAGCCCCTGCAGCCCCGGGACGGACTTGCTGGGCAGCGTTAGGCAGGGTGTTGAGGTGGGGGCTGCCAGGCTGATCAAAGCAGCTGGTGAAGCACTGGAGGCTCAGGGAGGGAGGGTGAGCAGGCCATTGGCGAGAGCAACGCGGCTCAGCCAAAAACAGTAGTGGAACAAGTGGGGCAGGTTTCCCCGTCACCTGCCCATTCTCTTCTCTGTCAGAGAAGAGAACTTTGCAGCTCTGCCTACAGAGCCACCAAAATGGCAGGTGGAGCACCAGAGGCTCCGGGAGGGAGGGCGGGCAGGCCATTGGCGAGAGCAACATGGCTCGGCTGAAAGTGGCCTCGGAACAAGTGGGGCAGGTAAGGAAAGAAATCCTTGTCCCCCACAGGAATTGCCTTTCTTTGCTTACCTGACTCCAAGCCCTATGCTGTTTCTCCTTTGCAATCTGCTGCAACCTTGTGCAGGGAAAGAAAAAAAGGTATTTTTTGGGGGGGAGGAAAGGTCAATCAATTCCAACTTCGCGAGATCTTTTTTTTCGCGAGAAGTTGGAATTGATTGATTGACCTTTTTTCCCCCCAAAAAAAACTTCATTTCCCTGCATGCGACAGAGAAGAGAATGGGCAGGTGAGGGGGGAATCTGCCCCACTTGTTCTGTGGCTGCCTTTAGCTGAGCCACATTGCTCTCACCAATGATGCGGCCATGAGGCCACGGAACAAGCTGGGCAGCAGTAGGGAACCGGTATAATGGCACGTGGCTCAGAATTGGAGAGGATCCACCAAGCCTCATGGCAGCGGCATTGGTTTAGATGCGCAAGGCGGCAAACAGCCATGACCGGTGGCAAATGGCCGCGTCCTGCTGAAAACAGCCATTTGCCAGCTCCTGCCCAATGCTGCTGCCTTGAGGCCACGGAACAAGCCAGATGGCGGTAAGGAACCGGTATACTGGTACCGTGGGTCAGATCCCACCTCCACCATCAGCTCGTCACAAGTAGGTCCATCTGTGCAGATGCTTACTTTCGGGGGGAGGGCTTATATTAGGCCCACCTTCCGAAAATCAGCTGGGGCTTACTTTCGGGAGCAGGTTTATTTTCAGGAAAACATGGTACTTAGGACAACTGTATCTGTGCTCAGGCTTCCAGCCAGCCATACTCACTTCTAGGTTAAAGCAGTTTTCTCCAATCTGGTACGCTTTACAAAAACTTGATCCCACTTCCCATCTTCTCTGAATACTAGTGGTTTTGACCCTTTTGACAGCCTCTTTGCCATTTTATATGCCAGACAATATCTGAATGATACACCCTGTGTCAGGAATGGCCTTTTGCACATACATTGTGCAAAAGATGCACTCAACCTCTTTTCCTTCCCTCCTGCCCCACCCCCTGCCCCTGATGAAGAAATAGTGTTCTTTTAAAATATGAGAACTGAACTCTGGGGCAGAGAGCAGTCTGAGATTGACTACTGAGAATGCATCTGTGTGCACAGTATTGTGTGTTTCAAAGTTTGCCCATTTTACATCTCTATAGCCCAAGCTGCACCAGTTTCCTTCTGAGTACAATTCAAAGCGCTGATTATCACCATTAAAACTGTACATGTCATGGGACCTGTTTATTTGTTGAAATGCCTCTCCCTAAGAATGCCTGCCTGTCCTACCATATCTGATAGGGTAGTCACATACTTGACATTTTTTCCCTGAAATCCTATCACCGTCCTAGTGGGACCTCAAAAGTGTGCCTTTTCCATGGCTGCCCCTACTTTATGGAATACCCCATTCTTTTAGCTTCAGAAAAGGTCATCAAACCTTTTTTAAAAAAATCCAGGCACTAGAACAGAACAGAATAGACAGAATTAAATTAGGTAATTGGAACTGGCTGCAAAGCATTCAAAGTGTAAGGTGCAGGGGGGTTGCTTTTCACAATTTTATTGTTTCATTATTATGTTTTATAGTTACTGCATTTTATTGTTGTTGTGAACTGCCCTGAGTTGTTTAAGATAGGTGGCCATACAAATCTTCTAAATAAATCAATAAAATCCCTTTCTAAACAAAAGCTTGATCTGCCATAGTGAGTCCACTGCTTAGCTATAAACCAAACGTCTCCCATAATCTCACACTGTGATTTCTCAGTATGAATGTTGAACACCTGAACAAAGCTACTTGTCTGTTAAAGAAACAAGAGTGGCAGGAAAGCAGCACAGCATTTTGGCCAAGGACCAGCAGATTGAGGTACATAGAAACCAACGGACTCAGATCAGGTTGGTGCAACTCAACTCCTACATCGAAATAATTACCTCCACAAGAGTTTCTATTGTGAACTTTGGGCCGTTGAATCCCATTGCTTTGTTCACGTTGGCCACAAAGTAATACAAAATACCTTTGAGGTCATCTGGGTGAGCAGCGACAGGCTGCCAAGATGTTTGCAGAGACTTCCTGGAACAACTACAACTCACACGCCTGAAGCTTGCTAGGGTTACAGGTGTCACCCTGCATTTCCCAAGTTTGGGAACGAAGTCAATCGCTTTATAACAGGGGAAGTAATTCATGCAGAGGAAGAGCTCATATAGACAGCAATCACAATCACCTTTTTAAATGCAAGATGCTTTTATCCTTTATCACTCATTTTCTCAGTTATCCGGATCGTTTTTATTTTCTTGACAAAACCTCTATGCATTTTGCACAATAGGCAGACAGTCAGGAAGGATAATGATTCCAAGAACAGATAAGCAACATTGGAAAGAAACAAGACAGAACTTACTGAATGTCTGCCTATTACAGGTAACTCTTGGCTTATGAGTATTCATTCAGTGACTATTCAAAGTTACAGAGGCTGTGAAAAAAGTGACTGATGGCCTGTTTTCACACTTAACGACTGTTGCAGCACCCCCATGGTGACATGGTCAAAATTTGGGTCCTTGGCAACTGGCATATATTTATGACACTTGCACTCTCCCAGGGTCACTTGATCACCATCTGTAATCTTTCCATCCAGCTTCCAACAAGCAAAGTCAACAGGGGAAGCCAGATTCACTTGGCAACTGCACAATTCACTTAACAACTGTAGTGATTTGCTTAACAAGGGTAGCAAAAAGATAGTAAAATGGGGCAAAACTCGCCTAACTACTCCCTTGCCCAGCAATGGAAATTTTGGGCTCAATTGTGGACATAAGTCAAGAACTATCCGTATCTTGTTATTACAGGTACAGAACTGTTTTTACATGGAAAGATTATATTACCCCACATACTAAATCTAACCTACTTCTGTAATGTATAAAATGTGTCTTTCTTCATCTCTGCTGCTTCCTGGTGGTCGTAGTTCTAAATGCTCTCTCCAGAGTCACAGGTCATGTTAGCCCATAATGTGATTTGTTCAGTTTTGAGGTAACATCTTATGTGAACTCTGCCACCAATGGTTTTAACTTTTAAGCCATGTTTACAGCTTAGCGTGATGTGTGAACAACCTTCTCGCTATAGCCTCAGTAAATCCCTAGACTCAGGTGAATGTGCTTCTGATTCATCTCTGTATATGATGCACTTTCATGCCATATACTCACCAGACTCTGATTCTTCTGTTTTACCAATAAAATATCACACAACTGAGCTCAACAGAAAATACAGTCTAGTAATCTGGAAGGATCACAGCTAACCTGTTTTTGTCTGTACCAATTTTTTTACCTTTCTGAATCTTGCCATTCTCTGGAAGTGTCCTGGGGATAGCGGCATATTGGATTGGATTTCTCTGAGAAGCCACTCTGTGAGTTCCCACTTGGGCTTTCTTGAGGTTGTCTGTTGTCTTGTCTTCTGCTATCTTGCTCTGAAAAATCAGTGTCAGCATTTCGGTGCTTCACTTTGTGATGTCTTGAGCTGCTTCTCTGCGTGCTACCTTGTAGGCTGGTCCTGTCCTCCAGCTTGCTCTGCTTTCTGATAGTCTTTCTCCCCAAACTCGCAGCGCCCTTGATTGATTCATCTTCAAAAGGAATTTCATGGCCTTTGTCTTCGTCTAAGGTAGCATCTTGCTGGTCTTCTTCAGACTGCCTGGATATGTCCTGGATTTGGGGTTGTCTTTCGTCTGACTGTTCTAGAAATACACTTGGCACTATTTCTTCCGCTAGAAAAAGAGAAGAAAATAATCAGATGTGCTCTCTCGCTGCTATTAAACCCTACATATTTTCTCTGTATAACTGCTACCTAGGTATACTAAGTACTAAGTCAGTTTCAAGAAGATCTTAATTCATTAGTGCTATTTTAGGTCCAGAGATTCACCTCCATTATATTCTATATTGAAGGGAACAGGATTTGGGGATAGGGTCACAACCTGTGACACATTTCAGGGCATTCTCTGACGGTTAATAAAAACTACATATATTTTAAATTATCACAAATATTTTTGAGGAGCCAGCCAGGTAGGCAGTGAAATGAGATAGTGGTAGAATCAACAATAATGTCATTTTAGTGTATCGAGAGAACCATGTTTTTGAATGGTGTAATAAATTGCCTGTAAATTTTTACTGAAAAGTGGCATTGTGAACCATTGGGTAGAACAATTTCATTTATGTTTTGTTTTTAAACTTGCACTTCAGCGTTAAATAATTTATATGGAATCACCTATCATCTCTCTCTCTCTCTCTCTCTCTCTCTCTCTCTCTCTCTCTCTCTCTCTCTCTCTCTCTCTCCCTCCCTCCCTCCCCCCTCTCTCTCTCACACACAAACACAATAACCTGCATTTGAAATTATACATATCTTCCACAACTGGTGGCTTCCAGACCAGTTATAGTGGACTGCAATTCCCTGAATTGTGAGCAAAAATGCTGTTGCAGAATTTTGGAAATTGTAACATCTACGCATTTGGAGACTATTGATGTGAGAAAGAAAGAAATGACTGTAGATTTAAATCTGTAGAAATAAATGGTAACTGTAGAAATAGATCAAGCCAGCTATGGATTCAAATAGCAAATTGTGTGTGTAAAAGTATTTTTAAATTCAGTAGACATTTCCATAGTTTTCTATGACTGCAGTTTGACAAAAGAGCTGACTAACAGATTCTACTGACAATGGAAGAATTGTACCCAATTTTAGGAATATGTATAAATTCTAGTGCTAAATAAACTAAAATTAAGCCAACACTAACTCCACCTTTGCCACTTGAACAGATTGTAATAATATTCCATAGTAACAGATTTTCAAAAATACAGCAGAAGAGCTTTATAACTAAAAAACAGAAGTATAATAGAAGCATGTGCTATGGCTTCCAGTTTTGCACATAGGGCAGCAGCTGAGGGATTGCGGGGCTCCACACCCTACAGCCGATTTCTGCCTGCTAGAGGACCCTAAATGAGCCTGAGGTTGCCCCATAGAGGCAAGAAGGAAGGAAGGAAGTCCTGCCGATTGCGGAGAGACAGCAATCAATCCGATCGGTCTGGGAAAAGCCCTCCAGAAACCAGCAGGAGAAAGACTAGCTTAACTTCACAGTCTACCCCAAGCTACAAGCAGCCAAAGCCCAAAAGCACTACTTTAAGCTGACTGTAAACAATGTGTTTGGAACTGGGTAAGAACAGTGATTTTCTCTCTTCTACTTGAAAATTGATTTCCTGGAAAAAGAAAAAAAGAAAAACCCCAAGAAGCAAAAAAAAAAAAAAACCTCCAAAAGTGAGAAGGAGAGGGATCTGCCCCACCTTCCTGAAGACGGAAGCGACGAATTAAACTTTTCAGGGGGAACAGAAATATATTGAAAAGAAATGAATATAAGATTTAATTTGGATAAGTTTGAAATTGGTGGAAACTGTTAAGAGTTTCTTTTTAGACTTAAAAATCAGGATGAAACGGATTTTTACCAAATTTGGAATAAATTTTATAGATGGTGGGGGAAAAAATATGGAAGTCATTGTAATGAGATAAGTTAAGATTGAGATTAGAGTGGTGTTATTGTATAGAGTTTTTCTTAATAATTAATTGTGAATATGAACTGAGATGTTTGTCAAATCTGATTTACCATGTTCAATGTTTTTAATTTTTTTTCTTTTTCTGTTATTCAATAAAATTTTAAAAAAAGATTTTCCTTTTAAACCATGAAAATAGAAGTAAATAATAGAAGTAAACAATTGTCTATTACTGAAAAATGACCTGGTGTTAACATCTAGTGGTGGATGAAAATACACAGCAGCAGTTGCTCTATCACAGGAGCTGGTATAGCCCAGGAAAAGATAACTTGTTTCTGTGACCTTCAATGTCTTAATAACAGAGTACAGCTGTGACAAAAAAGAGAGAACATTTTGGGCTATTTATAAAGTGAGAATTATAAACTTTAGAAAAAAAGTGACCTTTCTGGATTACAAATACCAACTCAACCATGACTCTAAAGCAGTGGTTCTCAACCTTTTTAATGCCGCAACCCCCAACCGGTCATAAGTCGAGGACTACTCAACCGGTCATAAGTCGAGGACTACTCAATTGGTGCAGCACCGTTTGCAGAATGGGACTTTTGGCGGGCTCAGCAGGGCAGAGACAGCCTGGACAATTCCTATTGGCTTTTGAAAGCCAATAGAATTAGACTCTATTCAAGAGAGTCTATTCTATTGACTTTCAAAAGCCAATAGAATAAAAGGGAGTAGCACAGCTAAGGAAAAGGGGGAAAAATGGCGGACTGCGTTGTTTGGCGACTCCCGTGAAATGGTCGTTCGACCCCCAATGGGGTCTCGACCCACAGGTTGAGAACCACTGCTCTAAATCTATCTGCAAAGAAAGTAAACACCTGATTTTTGGCTATCATGGGAAATCAGAGAAGGAGATCTATGCTATGGTGCAACAAATCCAAACAACAATGATCTCAAACCATGAAGAAATTAAAAATAACTTTGAAAATATAAATGAACAGATTTTCAATTTAACTTTACAACACACAAATTCTCGGAACATAAAAATAGAGAGTGAGCAGAAAAAACAGACAACTGAATATGAGACAGAGGAGGTTCCGGCAATTTCAATTCTCTCTATCACTTCTTCTGTATTTGTAAGGATTAAGTCCAGTATAGCTTTATGTCTAGTTCCCTCCTCCACCTTTTGGGTGACAAAGTTGTCAGCTAGGTTGGTTAGGAATCTGAGTGATCTCCCGCTCATTGCAGGAGTTTGTCTCCCAGTTGATATCTGGATACTTGAAGTCTCCTATTATTAGTGTGGTATGCTTCCTACATACGTTTGTTAACTGATTGGCAAAGAGTTCATGTATTTCTTCTGATTGGTTGGGTGGCCTGTAATATACACCTATGGCAATGTCACTTTTTTTCTCTTTTATATTGACCCATCTACATTCTGGAGAGATTTTATCTTTGATCACATGTATTTCTATAGATATGTAGTATTCTCTTACATATAGTGCAACTCCCCCTCCTCTTTTTGTAGACCTGTTTCTTTTGAACAATTTGAACATCAGTCCATTCAATTCATGGGTTTTGTCCCACCAGGTTTCTGTTCACTCTGTTTGTTCCCCAAGCTTTGAACATTTGTATACAAGTATTTAATACTTTTATGCCTATGCATCTCCTGCATCTCCTGATTGTTTTTTGAGTTTTTTTTCCTCATCACTGCTTACCTCATTGTTTGATCTGATTTCTTGGGATTTGTGATTGGTGTTGGGTTCTAGAGATTAGTCACCCTTCCTCCTCAGTTTTAGTTTAAAGCCCTCCTGATGAGTTGGGCCAGTCTTTTTCCAAGTACATTTTTGCCTGTTTTTGTGAGATACAGCCCATTCCTTGCCATGAGTCCTTCGCATAGGAAATGCAGTCCATGATCCAGGAAATCAAAGTTTTCTTGGCAACACCAACCCTTTAGCCAATGGTTTACAGTATTTCAAAAAGTCTTGTTCCCCTCAATGGGTGTTGGCCTTTGGTTGGGAGTACTGATGAGAACACTACTTGTGCTCCTAGCTTCTTAACTTTATTGCCTAGTTGTTTGTAATCTCTCACTATTGTACTCAGGTTGTTATTGTGTCATGGAGGAGGAGGAAGGGGTAGTAATCTGTAGGCCTAATTATTTTGATTAGATTCTCAGCCACATCTTTGATTTTTGCTCCAAGGAGAGAACATACCTCCCTGGCCTGTATTTCTGGTCTGCAGATGGATGATTCTTTTCTTTTGAGAATAGAATCTCCTATTACCAACACTCACCTTCCTTTTTTGGGGTACTTCTCTGTTTATCTCAGGTGTGTTTGTTGATGTGGCTTTTTAGGGATATTTGAAGTGACTTTTTAAGGGATATTTGAAGTTGTTTCTTTGCTAGGTGTCTGCATGTTTTCTTTGAGGGGGGAGGTTGTGGATCTGTGTGTTTCCATCTAAGAGGAGAAATTGATTGCTCAGTTTTAAAGGGGCTGCTTCTGGGTGGGTAGGATTGGGCAGAAGGGGTTTGTTTGTTGTATGCTGTTTCTTTCTTTGAGTATTGTGTTTCCTTCTGTGTGTGACATACCTCCATTTGTCTTCCTCCAAGGGTTTATCAGTAGGGTCAAATCCTCTGAGAGTTATTTGTTTGTTATTTGGTTTTGTTTGGGTGGAGCTTTCTTTCGTATATTGGGGTTTGGCTAGAGTTGTCTCTACATTCCTAACTTTTTTCCTGTAGTAGTTCATATAATTTGCATCTAATACATGTATAGTTTGGGTATTCTTTGAGCATGAGCACATACATGGAACATGTATTGCATACCACAATAATATCAGTTACCTGTTCCATGAGTTTGTTGTTTGAAAATCTCTCATTTTCATTGGTGGATGTGCTTTGCTGTTAGCCTTGTTTCTAGTTTCTCTGTTCTGGGTAATTATGTCTATTTTTCTATCCTTTTTTCTGCCTGTTTGTGCTACCTTGTTATTTATTTAACCTTCGTACTATGACTTAAATATGAACCAATTGTATACAGCAGCAGCCAAAAAAGCCAATGCAATCCTAAGCTGCATTAATAGGGGGATAAAATCAAGATCACTTGAAGTTTTAGTACCACTTTACGAAGCCTTAGTAAGACCTCACTTGGAATACTGCATCCCATTCTGGTCACCATAATTCCAAAAAGATGTAGAGACTCTGGAAAGAATGCAGAGAGGACCAACAAAGATGATTAGTGGACTGGAGGCTAAAACATATGAAAAATGGTTACAGGAATTGGGTATGTCTAATCTAATGAAAAGAAGGACTAGGGGAGACATGATAGCACTGTTCCATTATTTGAGGGGCTCCTACAAAGACGAAGGTATCAAACTATTTTCCAAATCATCAAAGGCAAGACAAAAAGCAATGTTGGAAATTAACGAAGGAGAAAAGCAACCTTGAACTAAGGAGAAATTTCCTAAAGTTTGGAGCAGTTAAGCAATGGAATAGCTTGCCTTCAGAAGTTATGGGTGCTCCATCACTGAAGGCTTTCAAAAAGAGATTGGACAACCATTTGTGTGAAATGGTATTAGGTCTTCTGCTTGAACAGGGAGTTGGACTAGAAGACCTCAGAGGTCCCTTACAACTCTATTCTTCTATATTCTGTGTTTTAACATCAAGAATTGGTGGAGTTCTACTTAATATGCATTTTTCTGTAGTTTTAGGGATGGAATGGCTCCACACCTATGATCTGCATAGCATCTGATCTGAAGGCTCCATCATTTTTAAAGCATGTGGTTGCAAAACTCATATGAATTTATTTAGAGAGACTTTAGCAGCTGAACTCATCAAGAAATGTTGTCCAACTTATCCGCCAAGTATGCTGAATCCCAAGATGCAGTCAGAGAAAAGAAAGTAGATTTACTGCTTTCTCATAGACCCCATGACTGTCCAATTAATCTTGTTCTGGGACAAAGCTTCTATACGTATTCACTTTTCAGAATGTGAACTAGACGTTTGAGACTTTACAGATAAAATCTGGAAAATAAGGTTTATCCAGCCATATATGTCTCCAACTATCCCTCTAGTGCTAATTGTAAAAAAGAAATTGGGGAGCTCTAACTCTGCAGTGACTTTGGAGCCCTCAATCAGATCACTCAACCATTATCCACTGTCCATCATTTTGGAACTGCCTTTGTACAGCCAAGATATTCATCAAGCTGGATCTATGGAACAGGTAACTGATATTATTGTGGTATGCAATACATGTTCCATGTATGTGCTCATGCCCAAAGAATACCCAAATTATACATGTATTAGATGCAAATTATATGAACTACTACAGGAAAAAAGTTAGGAATGTAGAGACAACTCTAGCCAAACCCCAATATACGAAAGAAAGCTCCACCCAAACAAAACCAAATAACAAACAAATAACTCTCAGAGGATTTGATCCTACTGATAAACCCTTGGAGGAAGACAAATGGAGGTATGTCACACACAGAAGGAAACACAATACTCAAAGAAAGAAACAGCATACAACAAACAAACCCCTTCTGCCCAATCCTACCCACCCAGAAGCAGCCCCTTTAAAACTGAGCAATCAATTTCTCCCCTTAGATGGAAACACACAGATCCACAACCTCCCCCCTCAAAGAAAACATGCAGACACCTAGCAAAGAAACAACTTCAAATATCCCTTAAAAAGTCACTTCAAATATCCCTAAAAAGCCACATCAAAAAAAAAAAAAATTAAAACTGCAGTATAGCAGTTAAAAATGTCAAGGTGTAATCAATTAGACATCTGTCTGAAAAACTTCCTGCATATACTCCCTTGACTCAGCTGGCAAAGTGGGAGGAGAGCCTGTGGCTTGGTGGTTAAATCACTGCCTAGTATGTAAACTGCCCAGGTTCGAATCCCATAAAGGGTGTGGCTAACTGACGAGAGCAGAATGAGCTCGAAATGGCCATCTTAGTCTCCCAATTTAATTCTTTAATTCTTTGCCAGAAAAAGAAATTTGGATATATATATATATATATATATATATATATATATATATATATATATATATATATATATTCAGGCTTGCCATCAACTAAAATGGGAGGCAGAGATGGAATAGAAGGATGGTGTGCATATATATACTGCACACCATCCTTATATATATATATATATATTCTGCACACCATCCTTCTATTCCATCTCTGCCTCCCATTTTAGTTGATGGCAAGCCTGAATATGAAGTTCCTCATGTTCTTGATTCCTGGCTATATCAAGATTGCCTCCAGTACTTTATCAATTGGAAAGACAATGGTCCTAAGGAATGGTCTTGGGAGAATACATCCCAAGTGCATGTTCCATGTTTAGTTAGATGGTTTCATCAATGTTATCCTCAATAACCTTGCTTTGTTGATAGCATGGAAGGGGGCCCTGGGCATGAGATTGTGCTATGAGCCATGCTTCAAAATCTGATCTTGAATCTGATAGTGTCACTCCAGCTGAGCCTGTGCTTCAAGATTGTCAGCCTCAGGAATCAGTAAGCCAGAATTCAATTGAGGCTGATCAACCACAGGTGTCTCCTGTTTACCTGCAGCAGTCAGATGATGAGGCACAACCCCCATGATGTGAGGTTCCTTCCTAGGCAAAGCATAAGTAATTGCAGTTACAGAATACTTATTTTCTGCACAGAACTAGCAATCTTTTAAAAAGCATTAAATATATGTTTATAAGACCATATAAACCCCTGTGAGGATTTATGGCAGCTGTCTGAGTCCAAGCCAAAATGGCTCTAAGGATAGCTCCCAGTGATCAGAGAGTAGGGGAATGCCTTCAATAGCCTAAAGAGGGCAATGAGATCTCAACCCTTGACCATGTCAGTAGCAAAATATTCAGTGAAATATGCCAGATCATATCCCTGGCCAAAAACAAGCAAACAAAAATAGAAGAAAGGCATTAATTAACAATATCATGGCAGTTTACCACGCATATACTCTCTTCCTTGGGAAATAGATGTTCCTTTGCTTAAGCTGCCCAATATCAAAATGGGGCCAGTTCCATTAAAGCTTTTGCAGACTCTGCTTGTTTGGTACCGGGTTTAGTGGGGCAGATATTACTGTTCCTATAAAAATTAAGTGTCCTAAACAGTTAAAAGAGGGATAAAGTTGTTACTGAAGTGGTAAAAATGGCAGTACTTTCTGCTTCAATTCTGTTAAGCATCTTGTTGTCCCATAAAGTTTTGTTATAGCATAAACTTTTTAAAGCAAAGCCTGTTCTTTTATATCTCATTAGTTGTAAACCAAGTATGTTTGTATATAACAGATTTGTAAATCAAATGTAAGTTTATAAAAGGAGCTAAAAGGAATGTTAATATTGCATCTTTTATACTGTCCTTAGTCTTCAGATTTCACTGAACCTTGCCATCCTTTCTTTTACTTTTAAAATTCAGACTGGATTACTTGAAAAACCGTTATAAATACTCTACCGTTTAATATAAATTAATTTTCCTCATCTCCCTGGAAATATCATAGAAAAAAACCTGACAAAACCTAGTTATTGCTAATCCAGGCTGTTCTCCCTAGAAATTGCAATACTTGTTTTTAGAGGGAACCTTGCTTGATCTTCCTAGAAAAGGATTTCTGCTCTGGTACTGCACCCTATTTTGTCATAATTTATTTCAGAAAGGTTCAAGGGCTTCCATAAAAAGTGACACAGTGCAACAAAATAAATAAAAGTCTTGTTATCTATCTCTGAAAAAGGATTGCCATTGTTGCCACTGGGCAAAGAAATGCCCAGCTACTGTAGTCCTACACATTCAGGGTACCAAGTGTGAGCTACCAAGTGAGATTATTGTCATACAAGCATCTGACTCATTTCATAGGGACTTCATTGCTCTTGCTTTCTTTTTCATTCCACTGAAAAAACCCTCACATCTCCTAAGGAACCATCTTTCTTTTTTTCATACTGGATATTGTTGGGGTTTTTTTTTTATATAAAACGCCACAATGAAAGGTTGGACAACATATGTTCAAAAAAACACAGAAGTCGTGATAAAAGTCACTGTTAGCATAGGCATCCTTAAATCTTTGGTATTCACTTAGGTCAATATCTCATGACCTGTCATATACCTTTGTGGTGATAGTCCCTGGTTGCCTCTTTACTGACACAACTCAAGATTTAACTCTCTTTTCTTTCCTTTCAGAGCAATTTTGCAAGACGTGGGGCTGAGGTCTCCAAACCAGTAGGTACATTGTTTTGCATGTTGATATATGAACATACTCCTCCCTAACCTAAGTTAAAAAAAACCAACCCAAGTTTAATCCACATCTTAATTGCACACTAATTCCTGCCCTTCACTTGACCAACATAGAAAACACCAGATAAACAAAGGTCCTTTTTTGGCTCTGCATATTTTCTCTGTAGTTTAACACTGGAAACAATAACTGGGCGTCTTAATATATTCTTAGATATATAGTTCAAAACATTCATGCAGTATTCAGTTTTACATTTATAACATGTCTCTTATACCGTTTTACAGATAGAAACCTAAAACTGAGATATCGTAAGACTGATGGAACAGCAACAAATTCCCAAGAAAGAGACCCATGTCTTTCAAATCCAATATCAAAATCCAAGTGGGCTAACTAATGAGTCTCTGTCTCTCACTGATTTCTACACCACACACCCCAAAGCTCTGATTAAATTTAGATCCTTCCTATCTAGACCACTTATCACAAGACAGAGAATCTATGATGCTCCAGAAGTTGCTGACCACCAGCTTCCAGCGTCCCTCACAGTTTGCTATGCCAGCTGAGGTTTCTCTGAAATGTGGTTCAGCAATATATGGAGGACCTTCACGGCTTGTTCTCCGAGATCAGAACTGTACAATCTCAGGAAGAGAAAGAAGATTCAAAACTTCTGTAAGGCATCAGATTGTCAAATCAGCCTTAGGAAGAAAATATGGGATTTGCTTCCAGCCTCTGTGCTTCTTTGGTACCTCTTTCCATTGCTGCAGTTGTATTCCTCAGCCTCTACTTCTGCTTCTTTCTGCCTGGCTGGTTCTGGGTGCACCCTGCTTATTTCTGGAGAACTGCTTTTTAATGGCATGCTTATGTTGCTTTGTTTTCTTGGCACTCCATCTCTGGCCACCCTGATTGGTTGTTAGCCAAAGCCCTCTTGTAATTCATTGGATGCTGAAGGTGCTGTGGGTGTAACTCTGCAAAGCCACAAGAATGGGAAGGGAATATTCAGAGCAAAGGATGTGACTGGAAGGGTGGAGATAATCCAGGGTCTGAAACAAATTATTTTCTGTGTCAAACCTATTTGAGAAATGTGAGTAGATCAAACAATCTAATTTTTTTTATGGTGAAAACCAGCATAAGGAGGCTGGGATACAGTCAGTTAAAAAGCAAAGAAAATACATTAGAGTCTAAAAATATTCATTATAACAATCTAAAAAATATAACACAGAATATATATAGGGTGTAAAGAAGTAAAAGGTTAATGTGTGGCAGACTAAATCTATCACTGTACAGCAGGGGTCCCCAACAGCTGGCAAGCACACATGCACGCATGTGCATCCTCACTTGCAGGAGCAGCATGCGAGTGTGTGTGTGCATGCTCCATTTGCCGCTTGTGCAAACAGAACTGTGCTTGTTGGCCGCTTGCGCAAACTGTCGTCTCCCCCCGCTGGTCCACAAAGCCAGAAACATTGGGGAACTCTGCTGTACAGCACACATTATCATGATGAACTGAATCAGTGGTGGGATTCAAATATGTGAACAACCAGTTCTCTGTGTGGATGCTGTTTCCGGAAGTCCGTTCTGGGCCTGGGCAACAAAAATTAGCTACTGGTTTTGCTGAAGTGCTGTGAACTGGCTGAATCCCACCACTGAACTGGATGCTTATTAAGACTAGTTTATGGCACAGGTCATTATCTGATGGATTTTAAGAACTGCTGCACAGAACTTGACATTATATGTAGCAGCAGGATCAGTATCTGAAAATAGCTGGAAGGTATAAAATTGTTCTGTGGGTCCTGTGTACAAGTAGTCCTCGACTTACAACAGTTCTTTTAGTGACTGAAGTTACAACGACACTGAAAAATGTGACTTATGACTGTTTTTCACACTTACCACTGTTGCAGTATTCCCATGAATGTGTGATCAAAATTCAGACACTTGACAAGTGACTCATATTTATGACAGTTGCACTATCCTGGGGTCACGTGTTCACTTTTTACAATCTTCTGACAAGCAAAGTCAATGGGGATTTTGTTCACTTAACCACCATGTTACTAATGTAACAACTATAATGATTCACTTAACAACTGTGGCAAGAAAGATCATAAAGTGGGGCAAAACTCACTTAACAAATGTTTTCCTTAACAATAGAAATTTTGGGCTCATTTGTGGTTGTAAATTGAGGACTATTTGTATTTATACAGTAATGGTGTGATGAGGCTAGTATGGATGTCTCTTAATGTAGGCACTGGAGAAGCACAAGATCCAGCCTCCCAGAACCGATGGGAGGCTGGATCTTGTTCTTCTTCTTCGTCGTCATCAAGGGAAAAAAACAGTCCAGTTACCTTTTGGAAAAGCACCATTGAGAAACTATGACTTGGATGACTGAGAATCTCCACAGACACAAGATCTGTTGTTTCTGTTAGCCTAGCATCACAGGGACATTCTGTGTCCTGGTAGGAAATCTTCCTTTATCAGCCTTTAAGGACAGCTGAGGGAAGGCCATGACATAATAAAGGCCCTCCAGTAGTCAGGTACTTTGAGTTTAGTTAAGTATATCACAGGGGAGGAAGAGTGCCTATTGGGAATCATTGAGAGTAAAGGTCGGGGATCTGACTAGATCCCTTTGGCGCTCTGGTTTGCTACAGGCTGCTTAATAAGAATTTTGGCTGATCATATCCCATGATGAGTAGAAGACCTGTAGAGAAGGACAAGGGTGATATTTTAGTTGCCACTGTCTTTTTCCATGTGGATTAAAATTGGTCCCTCATAGTTAATGGGACAGGGCCAAGGGAGAAAAAGAATAGTCTGAGCCAGTAGTTGGGTATGGATACCCACACTCTAGCTTCTACTTTCATGAGGCCTATTTCTAGTCTCAGAGTGGCTTTTAAGACATATTGTTGGAACTTGAAGGGCTGATCTTAGAACTTTGAACAAGTTCTAATGGTGCAAAATTGGAGAAAGGAACCAGCTGGGCATTATAAAAAGTTGAGCTATTTGGCCGAATGTGAATAGAATTCCAGAGGAAGAAAGCTCTTCCCTTTCCTAGCGCTTACAGTTTTACAATATTGCAATGTTTTAATATTTAAAACAATGAGGAATGAAATATTTTGCACTCTTGGCTAGTTAAGGCTAGGCTCATTCCTAACAGCACAATAGTGCAACGGGAATCATCTATTTTGACACTTAGTCCGATGCTCAAAATTCCACTCTTCTCTCTCCTCAGCCATAGTACCTCATCGAATGTGGAGTCCTTGTTTTGTTTTGTTTTTAGAAACTGGAGTGAGCCATAAACCTGGCATACCATGCTCCTATCATAATCCTCCAAATGACACAGGAATCCTGTCTGCTATTATCCTTTTTCATCCGTGAAAATAATTATCTTAAATATGTCATTGTTCAAGATATAATGAGAGTGTTTTAGGGTTAATATCATTGAGCAGAACTCTTAATTGAGCATCCTGTGCTTCAGGGAACAAGTAACACTAGAAACCCTTTAATATATTTACTGTGGGGCAGCTACATGAGTAGCCAGAAATATCTGCCTTATGAGTCATTCAGCAACAAGGTCTTTGATTGACTATGACATTACCATCCAAGACTATCTGTAACTGCAGCATCATGAGTTTCTGCCACAAAGAGACAATTAGACAACTCAGCTGGCATTGTTCTGCTGTAGGTTATGTGCAGAATTATAATGTTTTGTTTTTATGAAGGTGAATGTACCAAAAAAATCTGATCAGTGGAAAGATGGTTAATATAGATTGCAAGATTTAGTTCCTAATAAAACAAAGATGAAATATTTCAAGACTCTTTTTTCAGAATGATCAAAACCACCTCATTAGTTTCAATATCTCCAAATAAGCAGCATAATTCATAGTCTTTTTTAGAAGAATGGCAGACCAACCTATGGCAATATGCATCATTATAAACAATAATTCAATCAAATTATTGTTGTTGCGATGTTGTGTCTGACCCATTGTGACCCCATGGACAACGTTCCTCCAGGCCTTCCTGTCCTCTGCCATCTTTTGGAGTCCATTTAAACTTATGCCTATTGCTTCAGTGACTCCATCTAGCCACCTCATTCTCTGTCGTCCCATTCTTCTATTGCCCTCAATCTTTCCCAGCATTAGGCTCTTCTCCAGTGAGTCCTTCCTTCTCATTAGGTGGTCAAAGTATTTGAGTTTCAACTTCAGAATCTGGCCTTCTAAAGAGCAGTCAGCATTGATCTCCTCTAAGACTGACCAGTTTGATCACCTTGCAGTCCAGGGGACTCACAGGAGTCTTCTCCAGCACCATAGTTCAAAGGCCTCAATTCTTTGGCACTCAGCCTTATTGTCCAACTTTCACAGCATACTTTGCAATTGGGAAAACCATAGCTTTAACTATACGTACATTTCTTGGCAGGGTGATGTCTCTGCTTTTTAGTATGCTGTTTAGATTTGCCATAGCTTTCCTCCCCAGGAGCAAGCGTCTTTTAATTTCTTGGCTGCAGTCTCCATCTGCAGTGATCTTGGAGCCCAGGAAGATAAAATCTGTCACTACCTCCATTTCTTCCCCATCTATTTGCCAGGAATTGAGAGGGCCGGATGTCATGATCTTGGTTTTCTTAATGTTGAGTTTCAAGCCAACATTTGCACTCTCCTTCTTCACCCGCATCAAGAGGCTCTTTAGTTCCTCTTCACTTTCTGCCATTAGAGTGGTATCATTTGCATATCTTAGGTTGTTGATATTTCTCCTGGCAATCTTAATTCCAACTTTTGATTCACCTTTCCCTGCCTTTCTCATGATGTGCTCTGCATATAAGTTAAATAGGCAAGGTGATCGAATAGAGCCTTGTTGGACTCCTTTCCCAATTTTGAACCAATCAATGGTTCTGTGTCCAGTTCTCACTGTTTCTTCTTGACCCATATATAGGTTTCTCAAGAGACAAATAAGATGGTCTGGTACTCCCATCTCTTTAAGAACTTACCAGTAGATGTTTTTCTGGAACTCCCTAGATTTCTCCATGATCCAGCATATGTTGGCAATTTGATCTCTAGTTCCTCTGCCTCTTCGAAATCCTACCTGTACTTCTGGAAGTTCTTGATCCACATACTGCTGGAATCTAGCTTGTAGGATTTTAACCATAACTTTACTTGCATGTGAAATGAGTGCAATGGTGCGATATGTTCTGTTTTCTGCTTGGTTCAGCATTGAAGAGGCAGCAATAGAAACAAGTACTTCTTTATTGAAGGTCAAAACAGAAAACTAACAAACATGGCTCCGCCCATATTTATACATTCAGCTTTGGGCGGGGTCAGTTTTGGGCGGCGTCAACCAATGAATGCACCATATTCTCCTACTCAAATGCATACTAATCAGTCTTGTAGATGGCAAGTCTAGCTAGCAGGCCACGTGGTCTGCTAACGGTCCCTGCACAGATCTCTGCAACTGTTCCATAAGTTTAACTCAATACATTACACCCCTCCCTCCTGGTTCTTTAACACATACAAAGCATTGTTTGTTCAAAAATTACACACATATTCAAAAGGCACCATGACACTCTGCGGTACATATGCCTGCCATTACACTGGTTGGAATCACAAATACTTAAGCATTTTAGTTACAAGGAAACACATAAGTATTCCAATTTTCCAAAGAACATACATAGCATTTAAGTACAAATTTCAAAGGAACATAAGCATTTTAGTTTGCAATAAAAAATACATAAGCATTTTAAGTTTGCAAAGACAGAAACCTTACGTAGTCCTTTAAAAACTTCAGTGGGCCTTTCTCCCACGCAGAACGTCTTGGAGCTGCTGCTAGCTCCCAATCTGCAAGCTCGCCTGCCAGGCTCGGCAGACCAGGGCTGTGTGACCTGTCCGATACAGGTAGAGCCAG